GTTTGCTTGGTACAGAGTTTAACAGCGTGTTTATTAAGATATTAAATAAGGTAGGACTGAGGACACCTCCCTGCGGGGTACCTAGTTCAAAGTCTCTTGTTACACTTGTATGCCCCCTGGAAAAATACAGATGACTTCCTGTTGGATAAGTAACCCCTGATCCAACAAAGAAGCCGACCACCAATATTCATTCTTGCAAGCTCACTCAAGATAACATGTCTATTTGCAATATCAAAGGCAGACTTGAGATCTAGGAAGGTGGTATATGACTTTTCAGTGTGCAGGGTAAGAAAGGTGGTGATGCAATGATGCACACTCCTTCCATGCATGAAGCCATATATCTGGGGGGATAGCATGGTTCTTATTCTAAGGAGATGGTTTAGGACCATTCTCTCGAATGTTTTGTAAATGCAGCTAGTAAGGGAAATTGGGCGGAAAGCATTCTCTTGATTTGGCTCGGGAATTGGAATGATTATACTGTTGGTCCAAGAGATAGGAAGTTTCCCAGTAACATAGCTCATATTGTACAGTTCAAGCAGGGGATTTCCTAGTACTAAAGGGAGCAGACACAATATGTCATAAGTGATACCATCCTCACTGGGTGATGTGGCTTTACCTTTGTTTAGGGCCGAAGGTAGCTCAAACTCAGTAAATGGCACAGTGCATTCATCTTCCTTGTGGAGCATGAAGTCAACGAGCCTCTCTCGATCTCCGTAACCAGCATTTAACCTGAATTGCGTGTCTGGGGGAAGATTATTGAAGCTAGAGGTGGTTGCCCAAGCATCGACTAACTCGTTTGCTCTGTGTAGAGGGTGTGATACTTGACCGATCTTATCACCTTTAATTCTTTTAATATCCTTCCATGCCTGGCTGAGTGGGTTGTGAGAGTTGAGACTGTTAACAAGTTTCCCAGTTACCTTGCCTGAGCTCTGTCATCTCTCCCTTGCCTTGGCTAGGGCTTTCTGCAATAATAAAACAATATAATTCTTGCAACAGAGCCAATGCCACCTTTGTTTGACTTAAGCGAGTCACAAACACACTCAACAGTTCTCCTCCTTTGTTTGACTTAAGCGAGTCCCACACTCAACAGTTCTCCCTTCCCTGACCCACTCCCTCCCTGACCCACTCCCTCCCCCACTAACTGCCTGACCCACTAACTGACCCACTCCCTGCCTGACCCACTCCCTGCCTGACCCACTCCCTCCCTGACCCACTCCCTCCCTGACCCACTCCCTCCCTGACCCACTCCCTCCCTGACCCACTCCCTGCCTGACCCACTCCCTGCCTGACCCACTCCCTCCCTGACCCACTCCCTCCCTGACCCACTCCCTCCCTGACCCACTCCCTGCCTGACCCACTCCCTCCCTGACCACTCCCTCCCTGATCCACTCCCTCCCTGACCCACTCCCTGCCTGACCCACTCCCTGCCTGACCCACTCCCTCCCTGACCCACTCCCTCCCTGACCCACTCCCTCCCTGACCCACTCCCTGCCTGACCCACTCCCTCCCTGACCCACTCCCTCCCTGACCCACTCCCTGCCTGACCCACTCCCTGCCTGACCCACTCCCTCCTGACCCACTCCCTCCCTGACCCACTCCCTCCCTGACCCACTCCCTCCCTGACCCACTCCCTCCCTGACCCACTCCCTCCTGACCCACTCCCTGACCCACTCCTCCCTGACCCACTCCCTGCCTGACCCACTCCCTGACCCACTCCCTCCCTGACCCACTCCCTCCCTGACCCACTCCCTCCCTGACCCACTCCCTCCCTGACCCACTCCCTCCCTGACCCACTCCCTCCCTGACCCACTCCCTCCCTGACCCACTCCCTGCCTGACCCACTCCCTCCCTGACCCACTCCCTGCCTGACCCACCCTCCCTGACCCACTCCCTCCCTGACCCACTCCCTCCCTCCCTGCCTGACCCACTCCCTCCCTGACCCACTCCCTCCCTGACCCACTCCCTGACCCTGACCCACTCCCTCCCTGACCCACTCCCTCCCTGACCCACTCCCTCCCTGACCCACTCCCTCCCTGACCCACTCCCTCCCTGACCCACTCCCTCCCTGACCCACTCCCTCCCTGACCCACTCCCTCCCTGACCCACTCCCTCCCTCCCTGACCCACTCCCTCCCTGACCCACTCCCTCCCTGACCCACTCCCTCCCTGACCCACTCCCTCCCTGACCCACTCCCTGACCCACTCCCTCCCTGACCCACTCCCTCCCACTCCCTCCCTGACCCACTCCCTCCCTGACCCTGACCCACTCCCTCCCTGACCACTCCCTCCCTCCCTGACCCACTCCCTCCCTGACCCTCCCTCCCTCCCTGACCCACTCCCTCCCTGACCCACTCCCTCCCTGACCCACTCCCTCCCTGACCCACTCCCTCCCTGACCCACTCCCTCCCACTCCCTCCCTGACCCACTCCCTCCCTGACCCACTCCCTCCCTGACCCACTCCCTCCCTGACCCACTCCCTCCCTGACCCACTTCCTCCCTGACCCACTCCCTCCCTGACCCACTCCCTCCCTGACCCCCTCCCTCCCTGACCCACTCCCTCCCTCCCTCCCTGACCCACTCCCTCCCTGACCCACTTCCTCCCTGACCCACTCCCTCCCTGACCCACTCCCTCCCTGACCCACTCCCTCCCTGGCCCACTCCCTCCCTCCCTCCCTGACCCACTCCCTCCCTGGCCCACTCCCTCCCTCCCTGGCCCACTCCCTCCCTCCCTGACCAACTCCCTCCCTCCCTCCCTGACCAACTCCCTCCCTCCCTCCCTGACCAACTCCCTCCCTCCCTCCCTGACCAACTCCCTCCCTCCCTCCCTGACCCACTCCCTCCCTGACCCACTCCCTCCCTGGCCCACTCCCTCCCTGGCCCACTCCCTCCCTCCCTCCCTGACCAACTCCCTCCCTCCCTCCCTCCCTGACCATTATCCCCCAGGTGGTCCCACCCAACGCTCCCCCCTCTCCAAACACCACCCACCCACTTTACCCTCTCCTACACCATGCGCCTGAACGGCAGCAAGTTAACCGGCTCCGATTTTTTATTCGGCCAAACCGGCTTTTATCTGGCTCCATTGGACATTTTGGCCAAATATTGAGATAACTTTATTCGGTCACAATTTTGGCCGTATAAGGGTGTTTTTCGGATATTCAAATCCCGGATAATAGTGTCTACAGTACTACTACTGGGTTCCCACAACCCAGGCATGCGGACTTTACCGGTCCCAGTGGGCTCTGTTACTTTTGCCTGAGGGCCCTTTTCATTTTGTACTGGGTTTCCATGTTTCTAGTTACTTGTAGGAAATTCAAAGTTTTCTCAAATATGAACGGTATTTAACCATCCTTCAGAAAGTGACCCAGAAAGGTCAACTAACAACCAAGTTGCTAATTACTGTTAGGTTAAAAGAGGCAACAGGTGTAAGGAAATGTACCCAAATATCTCACCCTGCTCAGGATGTTACCAGGTCTAGTAGTTTGTGAGTGCCCTTAAAAATGAAACTTGTGTACACATATGCAGCCTAATGGATGATGTGGCCCAGCCAATGGTTGTGAAACTACCCAGACAACCCAATAGCAGCTTTCTCTGGATAAGGCTGCCGCGTATGGGCCAATAGCAGCTGCCGCGTATGCACTTTGATAAGGCAAACAAGCTTCCTGTCCCTCACCATGCAAACCAAGCCATAATGTTGGGAGCAGCTACTGAGGAGCCTTGTCTAGACAGTTTTCAAAATAAAATAAAATAAAAAAACAGCGTTGAATGTAATGAAATGCCATTTTCTGGGTAGAGCCCTGGAGGCTCCCTAGAGATATTGGGCTGATATTAACTAATATTTGTACGTGTTAACTTCAGTCATATGGAGTTGTCATGCCTACCGGGGACCACCCGTATGTATCTGGGCAAACTGGCCCCTGTGAAGTGAGCAATCTCGGAGGCCCAGAGACCGCACTATTGCACCTAGGTATCACCTAATAAGGACCTTGGCAGTCTCCCAATGGGCAAAGCAAAGTGGGAAAGAGAATCCCGAGGAAGCACCACAACCCAGGGAACCAGAAAGAGGCACGGCCACTGCAATAACACAAGCTGGGCAGCACCATTCTGCCTAGTTAAACTGTTGAACCAACAACAAACTACTCCCTACCCAGAGCCAAACAAATGTAACGGGACCTAAGCTGATCCCAAGGGCGAGGCAGAAGGTCAAGCAGCCGCTACCCCTATGGGAATGGGGACCCGAAGGACCCAGAGAAGATGGCTCTGAACCCCAAGGGGTGTACTCACAGGGCGCTTAGGGAAGGATGCCCTAAGCGCATGCAGCCCTTGGTACGAACTCCTGGCCGCCACCAACACACAGCAGGAACACCAGCCGGGTGAAGCCAATTAGGCAACCGAGACCAGAGCAGACATCCACCCCGTTTAGCTTCAGTCGAGAAACTGACAATCAGCTTGCCAGCGCGGCATGCTACCCCCAGCTTGACAACCTCCTCCTATCTCTCCTGGGAGGGTGTCGACGCAAATGAGTGGCGCATGGTGTGATGACGTTTTGCTTGTTTGCTTGTTTTTGTTTTTCTTTGGGGAGTTTCTAGCCTTTATTCGATCTCAGGTTAAAATATTTCTACCAGGGGGGTTCTGTTATGAAAAGCCTACCTTTCTGGGTGCTCAACCCCGGTTGATGGCAAACATGGATACTTTGATACATTGAAGTTTCATAAGTCAATGCTCTCTTCGCCTCTCTGAGGGAACCATGTTCTGGCTAGTGGTCCCGGGTAGGCATGACAACTCCATATGACTAATAGCTGATAATATTAGCTAATATCAGTTCAATAACTCCAGGGAACCTCAGGGGCTCCACCACAAAACAATGAGACGAATGAAAATAAGTATTCTCAATGCTAAAGATGGCATGCATATACAGTACTGGATTTTACCGTCATGAAACCTGAACTTTAGTATAACAGTGGAAGTGGCTTGAGCATAATATGAATCAATGTCACAACTTACGTATGCTCAGGTGGTATGAAATTTAAAAAATGTGGCTTTGTGGTTTTGCGATCGAGGGGAGGATCTTCAGGGGGAGGTGGGCAGGGCGGAAGACTACCACCATCCATACCAATAGTCTGTCAAAGTAATAAAGAAAATAAGAAAAATGTGATATGTCTTTGTGCATTGATGACTGCTTAAATTATGAATATTCTTCTTCATTTAAGTTTAAATAAAACATTATGTTCATCAAATTTCCAGAGACAATAAAAACGACATCCCCTCAGCCACTATAGAGCATCATTTGTCATGGGGGAACATGGCCACCCCAACAATCTCTCTCTATTTGTATATAGAGAGTAAAACGTATGATATTTCACATGCCCTAATGGGAGAAAAAGTACCTTGGTGTAGTCTAACGGTTAAGAAATGCTTACAAATTTTCATGTTTTTACTTATTAATGTTTAACCCTGTAACTGCATGAAAAAAGTGCTAAATAAAATTATTTTTGCCATAACAGTTAGAATCCAAAAAAACAGCGTTGAATGTAATGAAACGCCATTTTCTGGGTGAGCCCCAGAGGCTTCCTGGAGCTTATCGGGCTAATGTATGTTAAATTAGACCAGGACATGAGTTCAGACCTACCAGGGGCCAGTGCCAGAACCTGTCCCCTTCAGAGAGGTTTCAGGGAGCAATGGCCCTGGAAAACCCCCTTGTGGTTGGGGTTTTCCTTATCTGCCATCGACCGGGGTTAGGCACCCAGAAAGATAGGCATAACAAAACAAACCCCATGTGGTAAAAAACTAAAACAAAAACCGAACAGAGGTAGAAACTCCGTACAATCCCACGGAAACAAGCAAACAAACAAACATCACACTTTACTGCCGCGCCGATCGTCCGCGCAGCCCTCCCTGCCCCGAGAGGGGGAGGGGGGAGCCCCGGACCTACCGCGCCGACTGCCTAGCATCAGTTCAGAAGCTAAGCTTCAACCAACGCGAAAAAACCGCTGACCGGTGGGAGGGAGGGTTGCCAGGGAGCCTCCGGGGCTCACCCAGAAAATGACTTTTCATTACATTCAATGCTGGTTTTCTGTGGGGGAGCCTCTACGGCTCCCAGGAGCTTCATACCCAAAGAGAAGGAAAAGAAAGGGCTGACCCGGGAGGCGGCAGCCACAAACTCCGCAACGCGAAGCCGAGACAACAGACTGCAACCTGCGACCCAAGGCAACAAGAACACACAGGAGCAGACGCGCATAAAGAATGAGCGGCCAAGAACCTGTGCGACCCTCAAATCCCTGCACCCAAAATGAGCCCTAGACGTTACCAACACAGCAGCGAAAGCTGCAAACGTCCGAACAGCACGGGCGCAAGGACAGACCGCAGGTTGGAAGACTTAAAAACTCTGCAGACGACCTGGGAGACCCGAGCCCTGAAACAGGGAACAGGGGGAACCAGATCAAGCCAAAGCGCATCCCCAGACATGGTACGCAGGTAACGGCAAAAAAGCCCAACCAGACAACACAGGACGCACCCCTGGCCGAACCAATCAAGCATCAATAACCCAAGATCCCCTCCAGAAAGCAGCCGTCTCGACCGTTGCCAGAAGGATGGAGAAAGGCTGCAAACGTAGAAACCTACCACCAGTACCAAAGAGCAGAAACCTGAACTGAAAGGGCTACCACAAACTGAGAAGATAAGAAGGCACCCCTGATCAAGGACCAGGACAGCTCAGGCGATGCATGAGCAGGCCGGAGGTGAAACAAAACACGAGAAAGCGTATGAAATGGGGCAGATGTGACGTCCACCCTGAATGCAAGCCGGAGCGGCTCCGCCAGCGCCGCACAAAACGAGGCGACAGTAAGAAACATCAAAACTGTAGTCCTGAAAACCCAAGAAAGGACAAGACAACCCGATGCGAAAGAGAAGACAACCTACGAAGAGCAAGAAAAAGTGCATAGAAAAACCAGGAACGTCATACTGTCGCCGAGACGAAGCTCGCAGGTGCGACACCATCAACAAAGCCACCTGATCACCACAGAGATGGTGATGCCTTTGTCAAAATACCAGACGCGAAGAGATGAGGAGAAGGCCGAACCAGTCACGTACAGGACCAGTCCGATCTGCCGAAAGAGGCGGAGCCGCGGGAAAACGCCCCGGGTTCAGACACCTATCAAGCAGCGTCTGAAAACAAAACTGGGCCGGCCACCAAGGGACCATAAGGACTACTCTCGTCGGAATGGGCTCCAACCGAGCCAGAACCCAAAGCAACAGCTGGACCGGGAGAAGAGGAACAGGTACCCCCACCTCGACCAGTCCTGCCAAAAGGCATCCACCGTGAACGGCTTGCAGGCAGGTAAGGGCGCCACATAGAATGGGCGCAGGACACACCCCGGACATGAACCTCACGGTTAGCCAAGCCCCAAGAATCCAGCAAGCAAGCCACTCTAAGGGACCAACCCCAAAGGTCAAACACCTAAGAGAAACCCTGTGGGTCCGGCAAAGAACCGCCTGAGAACAGTCCGAATGGAGCTGAATGGTAGAGCACTGAGTGACCCAAACCCTCCAAAGCGCAAACCAGACAGCCACAAACTCCCGAACCATGCTGTTAGCCCAACGGATGGACAGACCCTACCATCCCCGGCCGACCTAGTGAGCACTGGTCACAAAGCCCCAGCCGAGAGAAGACCCGTCCGTGAACACATCGAGCGAAGGCTCGGGGAGGTGCCAAGTCACGGAACCCCAAAAACTCCAATGAGGAAGCTGGTGACGCAGCACCAACACAAGATCCAAGGAGGAACGAACCCAACGATTGCAAGAGTGGCGGAAGGGGAGTCTCCGAAAGAACCAAACAGACGCCGAAGCCAAACCCGACCCTGCGGGCAGACCAGCATGTCGAAGTTCAGACTCCTGCACAACTGCTCGAGCAACCGCCGAGCAACCCGGGACCCCCTCATGAACAGCCGAAGGCGGGACCACAGCCGCAGCAACACTTCTGGAGGGAAAGACAAGGAGCGGCCCAAAAGCCCTAAACAAGACCCAGCCGGTCCGAACCCGGGACGAAAATAAATGGAACGGCCTCCAGATCAGCAGGAAACCAAACCCGGCGATCTGGAAAGAACCACACCCCTGGCGAGCAGACAAGAGGACTGACTGGGAGCCAGCACCAGCCAGTTGTCGAGGTAGGCCAGACACCGAATCCCAAGCAGACTCAGACAGGGCACCAAGATCCAGTAAAGATGCGTAAATACACCAAGAGCCAATTACAAAATAGGAAAGGCAACAAAAGCGGCAAACCTGAAGCCCTACCGCTAACTGTGCCAGTCCTGGAAAACTGGAGAGGAACGTGCCAAGAATTGACCTGGAGGTCCAGGGCCACCATCCAGGCACCCGGCCCCAACAGAAGCCGGACAGGAGACAACAGTCCTCCGATGAGGGCATAGAATCCAGGGCACAGACTGACGAAGTCCAGAAGAACCTCAGATTCGACAGGCCCATGTCTGCATAGAGCAGACAGGAACCCCAGAAGGATGGAGCGGATCGACCACGTCCAACGCACCCACGAAGATGACATGACGAAGCGCAGGGGAAGAAGCCCACCCCATCAGCCCTGAACCCCCAAAGGGGAAGAAGCTGTTTACCACCGCCACCAGAGGCCGGAAGACAACCAAAAGCGCCCACTAACTACGGGACCATGTGAGAGTCAGCAGAGCAAGCTGCCCCCCAGCACCCCGTCAACAGAGAAGGGAACAGAGCCCCTTCCGAAAGAAAAAGTATACATACACATATATTCATACATATTATGTACATACACATACATATACACATACACACAAGGTATGTTACAGTGGGCAGAGAGCAGCACGCCGGCCAGGCAAAGAAGGCACAAAACTGCATCAAAAGGCATATGTCCCAGCACAATCACAACATGTGCCAAGACCCAAAAAGATCAGTCTGCACACATCCCTGAACCCACAAAGGGGGCCCAAGAGGAAGAAACATCCGGAACAAAACCAAAGAACCCAAAGGAACCCAGAATCGAACCAGGGGGAGCCCAAACCACCACATTTGCAGGCGGAGACCACCACAGACCAGTGGGCAGAGAGCACCACGCCGGCCAGGCGAAGATGGCATAAAACCAGCGTTGAATGTAATGAAACGCCATTTTCTGGGTGAGCCCCGGAGGCTCCCTGGAGCTTATCGGGCTAATGTATGTTATGTTAGACCGGGACATTAGCTAAGGAGTTCAGACCTACCAGGGACCAGCGCCAGAACCTGGCCCCTTCAGAGAGGTTTCAGGGAGCAATGGCCCTGGAAAACCCCATATGGTTGGGGGTTTTCCTTATCTGCCATCGACCGGGGTTAGGCACCCAGAAAGGTAGGCGTAACAAAACAAACCCCACATGGTAAGAAACTACAACAAAAACCGAACAGAGAGGTAGAAAACTCCCTACAATCCCAAGGAAACAAGCAAACAAGCAAACATCACACTTTACTGCCGCGCCGATCGTCCGCGCAGCCCTCCCCACCCCGGGAGGGGGAGGGGGGAGCCCCGGACCTACCGCGCCGGCTGCCAAGCTCCAGTTCGGAAGCTAAGCTTCAACCAACGCGAAAAAACCGCCGACCGGTGGGAGGGAGGGTTTCCAGGGAGCCTCCGGGGCTCACCCAGAAAATGGCGTTTCATTACATTCAACGCTGGTTTTCTGTGGGGAGCCCCTACGGCTCCCTGGAGCTTCATACCCAAAGAGAAGGAAAAGAAAGGGCTAACCCGGGAGGCGGCTGCCACAAACTCTGCAACGCAAAGCCAAGACAACCGGTCGCAAACCTGCGACCCAAGGCAACAAGAACGCCCAAGAACAGACGCACATATGGATGGGCGGCCAAAAACCTGTGCGACCCACAATTCCCTGCGCCCGAAATGAGCCCGAGACGTCACCAACACAGCAGCAATTGCTGCAAACGTCTGAACAGCACGGGCGCAAAGACAGACCGCAGGAAGAAGGAAAACACTGCGGACGACCCGGGAGACCCGAGCCCTGAAAACAGGGAACGAAGGAACCGGATCAACCACAGCGCATCCCCAGGCACGGTACGCCGGCAACAGCAAAAAGCACAACTGGACAACACAGGACGCACCCCC